ACTGGTCGTCAGTCTCGCCGCTCCCACTAACCAGCACTCTTCCTTCTCACTTCAACTTTGTCGGCGCGCCCTATAACACCAAACATCATGAAGCCCAGAAAAAGCAAAGTCTAAGGCCCATAACGATCATACCCCATCCCAAAAAGGGGTGATGATTTCTCGTGCGCCAGGGCATTTCTTCATTTTCGAGGTGGCGTTTCTCGTTCGTCGTACATAAAAGGCTCAATTTTCGTTGCTCTACTTGTGTTGTGGTATTTTATGGGTCTCGTGCCATCTAAAATTTACACCTGTTTACGTCCAATTCTGACTGTTTTTTAACTTTTTTGTGGTGTGAGACCCCTTCACGAAATTTATGCGTGACTTCGTACTAATCCGGTACACCTATTGTGCGGTCTATTATCACCAAGCAAACATCTGGATGCCTTTGACTGAAATGGTATATTTCTTACTCAATCTGTGAAGCGTTGCGTTCGCAGTGTTGGCCGTAAAATCTTTGGGCGAGACGCATTGCGCGTGCGCGTTTCGTCGTTTTAGGCAAAAGGATTGTATGGGTTACGGTTACTCGGTATGGGTGTCTTGCCCCAATAGAATGAAGCCGCATGCGTTTATTCCAGCTGCACTAAGTCAAAGCACTGTTACAGCTATACCTCTAATCCCCAAATCCGCTATCTTGGTAATTATTCGGGTTAGGACGTAGGCAGTTCTCAATGCCTGTCCAAAGAAAATGAGCATCGAGGCTGTTGTGTGATGCCACAATACGCACTACTGACTTCATTATCACTATAGCAGTTACATAATCATCATCGACCATTTCCAGGAAAGTTGCTTCTACCATCGGACTTTTACCACCCTGACCTATCTGTTTCTGAGGACTAATTCAATTGTTATGGAAAAGCCCCGCGATGCCTTTAAAACACTCCCCGCTGGCGGCTGAGCGATTGAACAGCAACATTTTGACGTTAAGGAAACACTGAATTTCACGCCTCGGCTTTAGTTAAATTTCTGAGCGAGACAAGAGGAAATCACCTCAAGTAGGCCGGTGGAAAATGGCCTAAATAAATTGGCCAACCGTCATGTGAACTTCACCACGACCTTGGGGCTAATTTTGATTCATTTCTTAAGTGCAGCATCCAACAATGTTTTTGAGAAATGTGCACGGAGTTGAGCAGATTGGAGAAACGAAAATGTAACTTAAATGTAAGCCAAAGCTCCTACTACTGGAAAACAACGGCGCACATTCAGACAGGCGATAAGGGCGGACTGCGGTGAGGAGTCACACATGTAGCCTTCACCATTTCCCAGGGCATGAGCGGCTTTCGAATGGACAACCTAGCAGCTGATGAGAATGCTACCATATGAGTGAAAATAGCCGGGAATGGGCAGAAGAAAAGGACAACAAAGGGCATTTCCAGCACCCCTCGCAGACCTGGCAACACTCCTGCTGACCAAAAAAGTGCACACTTGAGGGAAAATTCTGAAAATGTGGTAAAGTTTAACCAACCAATATGGAGTACAAGAGCAAGTCATTTAAGTAAAGCGTTGCAAAAATTTGTCGGTAATAAGTTATCTTCCTGCCCCCTCTTCCCCCCCCCCCCCCCTCCACGCAGCAAAACACATCCCAGCCTAACACAGCCGGCTGCCGCGCCGGCAGGCACCCACTGGACGGCGGAGATGGCCTGGCTGATCCAGCACGACTGCGACTTCGCCGGGGCACAGTCGTACCTGGCGCCGGACCGGACGCACTTCCTGGATGCCGCCGCAATAATGTCGCCCGGCTGGCGGCAGGCGGCGCAGCAGCAGGGCAGCGATGCCGTGTGCCGCCGGCTGCTGCAGCCGATCGACGGCAGGCCGCGCCCTCGGCTCGTGAACACCCACCTGCCGCTCAGCCTCTGCCCGCCCGGCCTGCCTCGACACGTGCAAGGTACGGCCGGCCACTCCAGCAGCGCATGCACGCGATGGCCACGCCCGCGAGGCATTGGGTGAGGTACAATCGCGCGTTGCAAAGTACGGCCAATCATGCCAAGTGCCTCAAGGTTTATAGTGCAAGGTGCTCGTGTGCACTGTGCAGTCTTCGGCAGCACGTGCATGATGCGGGCGCGGTGTCTGGTCCACGTGTACAAAATGTGGACGAGTAAGCCTGGCACATGTGTGCAAGATGCTGACGAGTTGTCTTGTGCACGTGTACAAGATGTGGGCCAGCGGTTCTGGCCTAAGCGTGCAAGATGTGGACGAGTAGTCTGGCCCACGTGTACAAGATGTGGACGAGTAGTCTGGTCCACGTGTACAAGATGTGGACGAGTAGCCTTGTCCATGTGTGCAAGATGCAGACGAGTGGTCCTCGTGCACGTGTACAAGATGTGGATGTGGACGAGTAGGCTGGCCATGTGGGTAAAGCATGGCCACCGATACCGTAGAGGTTTTCACGGACAGGGTTTTCGCCTTACTCGACCCGCCCAGGACTTGAGAGGGCCTGGCCAAGCCCACCCACGATGCGTTCTCCAGTCCGTCCTACTCATCAACCATTCAGAGCCATTTTCCTAAGTTTCTTTGAAGTCACAAAAGGAAATAACATATTTGAACGCACATGGTTTCCTTATTTCTGCTCAAGATTACGGAAGTCATCACGAAGCACGCAACTATGGCCCATGTAATTGCAGTAGCTTTCAAAATTTACAACTTGCTGCCTGCAGTCTCCTTAATAACCCAGTTGCCTGCTACGCACGATCCCGGGTGCCAGGTATAATCCAGATGCCTTTTTTCACGAGGCCCGTATCCACAGCTAGTGCACCTCTAAATCGACTGACCTAAACTCAGTTAGTTTTGAAAGGCTCGTTTTTACGTACGTATGTCAAGTATGTATTTATTTGCGCATTTTAAGTTTCACGTCAGTGACCGGTTCCAAAGGTGGTTCAGAGACCGGCTCCTCGTCTCCAAGTCCCACGGTCGTAATAGAGTCGACGCGATTTCGTGTGCGCTCCGGGAGGCTGTCACCAGGGCGGGCAAATGATCTGGTAGAGAGCAGTGCCCATTCAATATTGGAAGCATTATGGGAGGGAGCATTGCCCATTCAGTATCGGAAGTATTATGGGAGGGAGCAGTGACCATTCAGTATGGGAAGCATCATAAGAGGGAGCAGTGATCATTCGATACCGTCTGTCATCGAGTAAATGCAGTAATGACACCCGCTGCCAGCCAGAAAGTGGGATTGACAACGGTAACACCATCGTCCGTCTTTCTCCAGGTTATCTACGTGGCGCGAAACCCGAAGGATGCGTGCGTCTCCTACTACAAGATGTTGATGTCAGACAGCACACTGAGCCCCGAGACGACCATTGAAGACTTCGTCACGCTGTACAACGAAGGGAAGATGGTCTGCCTGCCGTTCTTCCCAAACGTGCTTGCAGGCGTGGCGCCAGCGGCAGCACCCCAACATGCTGTTCCTCACATTCGAGGAGATGAAGCGGGATCTGCGAGCCGTCATCGAGCGAACGGCCGAGTTCCTGGGTAAGAAACTGGCGGCCGAAGAGCTGGACAGGCTGCAGCACCACCTTAGCTTCGAGAGCATGCGGAAGAACAAGTGGGTCAACAAAGAGGACAGGATCAAGGGACAAAAGGGAGCAGACGGTGAGCGTCTGTCCTTCATGAGGAAGGGTCAGACGGGCGACTGGAAGAACCACCTGAGCGACGAAACGTCGCAGGAGATGGACCGCTGGATGGAGGAAAACCTACGCGGCACTGGGCTCACATTTGTTGCCGAGGCACCGCAGCAGTTAGTCCGTACAGCGACCGCGCCGTTCGAAACGGGGTTCACGGCACCACAGTGGGCCGAAATCACGTGCAAGCGGCATGTAGTGACGGCGCAGCGCCGCCCCCACAAGGCTCTGCACTGAGGAGATCACGCCGATGATGATGCTGTCACCGCCCCAGACTTCGGAGCTATTTGACTTGATTTGATGAAGCTCTTGCCCATCCCAACACAACGTCTGGTCTTATCCAGTACTTCCATCAACAAGTACTTGTAAATGCTGAATGTTTTTATCCTGCGTAGTATAATCCTTCCATTTTATACCTTTTATCACTAAGTACGATATAAAGGTGGGTGAGGATGGAATAATATTTTGGGATGATGATGGTGAAGATTAAGAGTTTTTAGGCCGCGTCGAGTGCAAATGATCATACAGCGCCCATGAGTGAAGCAAGGGCGGCAGCTTACACAGGTATGGAATGTGACAGATATAGTGTTGTGTTGAAAACCATTTTCGTCTCGTCAGACACAACATACGAAGCTGGACCGACCGAAGGGAAAAGTTCAAGGTTGGGGGGTGAACAAGCGAAATGAAGGCAGCGTGAGTGATACAATCGTGGACAAAACAAGGCCTTGAACGTGAATTGTTACGACCTTCGTTTCAATGACGTTCATTTGTTCGCGATCCTCTCCCGCAACAACTCAGTCTTGCTACACGTGAGAAATTCGTCTTGTTCTTTTGCCCATCATCGCAACGTTGGTAAGCACGCATAAATTATCGTGTGCAATCTGCCAGAAAACATCAAAACACGTGCCACATCAGCAAAGGTTCTTGCCGTGGTTTCTGCTGTGATCTCATGTAAGCATCCATCAACTGACCGATCAGCTGATCAATAACTCCGCTTTATCTCGCAGTGGCTGGAGCAACCAGCTGCGACAGATGGCACGGTCGGTTTGTGTGGCCGAGGTTTTGTGCAGCTGCGTTGTGTATTTGGTTGCGCACGGTTTGCTGGGAGGCGGCTTAAGAGTGGACTAACAGCACAGATTGAGTTCCACTCTTCCGACGCCTCCAAATTACCCACTTGATTGCATGAACTAAATGTATATATACTCATTGATTACCCCATGTGGGTTACACATCCACACCCCATAAATGCTGCATCTGATCTTCGTTTGACCACCACCAGTCCCTCTTGGCCGGATGCTGACGGCCGCCGCCAGCGACGGGCCGGGCCCCGGTCACGTCTCCGCCAGATCAGCCGCCCGGCTGCGTCGGGTGCCGCGCGGAGCAGGCCACCGCCGCCGTACTCACCCAGTCGGTGGCCTCGAACATCTTGACATCGAGCGGGTCCCCGATCAGCTGGCCGGCCAGCCGCGTGAGGCCGTGGCAGGCGGCAAGCGCCACCTTCAGCTCGCTGCGGTCGCTGAGGGCCGGCACATGCCGCTCGGGCGGCGCGAAGCCGGCCGGAGAGCACGGCACCACGCCCCACATGCTCAGGCCGTCCTCTGTCAGCGTGCCCGTCTGCGAGGGAGGGGCGGGGGGCGGGGGGACGGATGATCAGAGTTCAGCCTCTGGCGCCGTAACAGCGCGCGTTTGGACACGACAGACTGCGCTTTGCCCCCTCTCCTGGCGAGGGCGAGGGCCACTCCGCGGTTAGCTGTGATCACCTATGTCTGGTACGCATCCGACGAAATTGGGACCGCCTTACGGAGAGTATGGGAACCTTTCTTCACAGCCACTCCGTAATCTCATCAATGAATGTGTCGTCTTTCTGAAGGACAGACAGATCGATACCTACCCGCTGTCATTACAAAGCGTGACAGAATCCAAAAAGTCGTCTGCCATCACCACGCAGAAAACATTAAGATCTCAAGCAAACCTACGTCGATCGGCTGTGGTGAACCGGGATCTACCGGCCAGTAGGGATACATCTCTGACAAAGCCGGCGTCGCACCTTATCGAAGCAGAAGAGCTTGAGCTTGCCGCAGACGTTGATGCGCGGTGGCGAGATGCAGAAGATGCTGGCCACCTTCAGCCGGTTCTGCGCGTACACGGTGCCGACCGTCATGGCGGCCGGCAGCGCCGGCGGCACCGCGATGGTGATGATGTCCAGGGCGCGCAGCACTGTGTGCCGCACGGACGCCTGCCCGAGCGAGCTCAGGTCAGCAGAGGACGGGGGGGGGAGGGCAGCGAGAAGGGGGGGGGGGTGACCGACACACTGTGACGGCTGGCGGGGCCAGGGACAGGGGACGGGGCGGACCGACGCCGTGACGGTCGGCAGGAGCTGGCCGACATACTGTGACGGCTGGCAGGGTCAGGGACGGGGAGCGAGGGCCGACTGACGCTGTGACGGTCGGCAGGGTCACGGACGCGTTGCTTGGCGTGGACGCACGGCTGCGTCGGCACGCGTCGGGCAATACGGAAATGTTGGGATTTCGAAGACCTGTGCGGTGTACAACGCGCTGTCGTCGAGATTGTGGTTGGGGTTCTGCGAGATTTACATAGCTACATGCAACGCAAATAATTTGTGATTCAATAAATGGCGGTGCATGTAGCTATTTGTGAACTGTACACTCCCGTCGAAACACCAACTGTATCAAAAGGCTTGCGATTCCACCTCCAACTGGTTTATTTTTTTTACCATCCATGCGCACGGCTTCAGAGCAATTCCCTTGAAGTTGAGTGACTATTCCCACATTTAATTTTTGCACCTTGGATCAAACTTTCAACATAACGTCTTGACCAGTTTAGAACACACGTGAACTAATGTGAAATTAGCCCAATGAACTCCCCGTAGTGGGATGTTTTGAAACGCAATGACTCTTAAGATGTGTGGATGCTACACGTGATACAATATAAAAATAAAAATGACGGAGTCAGCTTCATAGTGAGGAAGAGGGTGGGAGGGGGGGGGGGGGGCAGGTTATGACTCTGTCTTGGTATGATGCTCCGTAATTCGCAATCATATTGCCCATTTCTTATCGATTGCCGATACATCGTTCTCGTAAAGGTGACTTCCGTATTTAGGACAGAGGCGGATATACGGCATATTTTGGACACACTTCGGAGTAATTCGAAACAGTCTGCAAACAGCAGTCCAAACAGATTCACACGAATGCGGACAGTTGTTTCGTCGCATTAAAAAGTTGTATGCGCTGACTGCATAAGTGGCAATGCTTGACATACCCGGAAATGACCGGAGTGCTTTAAGTCCGGTGCAAATGGGGGAAAAGTATTAGCGAATGGAAGCACCTGGTTATTCAGGCTGACACAAGCATCGCATGCACACGTTTTGACAAACAACACATCCTGCAGTGACCACAGGCGGATCCAGGACGCTGGCTCCACCTGCACCAGCGGATCCAGCCATGTTCCAGCGTGGATTGTGGCGTTATAATATCGGGAATGCCAACAAACATAAAGCGCGCCGGCGCGGTCTCCAGACATACAATCGTTGGAGTGTCGAAGCATCGACGTTTATGGTGGATGCGTACTCATCCATACTGATTTCCTGTGTACGTCTATTGATATTATATGTAGTGGTATGTCAAGTATATACGCATGAGACAGAAGCAGTGATTCGCGTGGCGACCATAAACCAGTTGCGTAATTCACCAAACACCCCCGTCCGCATCTTATCAGGGATCGTCTATGGAACGTCCTCAAATGACAGTGGACTATCTAGAGCTCAGTCAAAGGAAAGGGCGGGACTCCACTGATGTCTGGGTTCATAGGGCGCCTGCAACAGCATCGTCCCACCATCAACACATCCCACCCCACCTACACCCTACGCCAATGAAAACGCGGACACAAAGCTGGCGACTATGACGGGTCGAAGATTCGGTGCGATTGCACGCCGTGACAGTCGAAAACGGTCGAATCTGCCCGCTTCGTCCCCTCTTCCTCCTCTGCCAGACCCTAAGCGCCGCGCGCCGTGTACTTACGCCTCTGATGACGTACAGGTACACGGTGTACGCCAGCCCGCTGACCGAAAGCAGGAACAGGAAGCCGATGAACCTCATCGAGTCCTGGTAGAACTTGAAGCCCATGGGCTTGGGGAAGAGGATGGAGCGGATGAGCTCGCCCTTGGCCGTGCTGAAGCCTGTGCGGATGACCACCGCGAGCACCTGCCGGCAGTGGGGAGTCAGCCGAGGCGGGGCCCGGCCGTCCGGTCCGCCGGCCGACGGCGGCCGCACGCCTAGGGCCGACGGCGGCCGCGCGTCCCGTGATCAACTTCCCATATGGGAGCGGCGGATGGTGCGCGTGGGACACTATAAGAGCAAAACGGACACGGTTTGCATCGGTTATGTGTTCGCTCGGGCTGAAGATCGCGCACAGCGAGGAGAAAATCATTGCTTGGTAGAGGGCACAGGTGTAAATGTCCGTCGAGGTTTTGGGCTCCAAATTAACTAAGAAAACTAGACTTGAACAGTTCGTAACCGTGACATGAATTGGGAAAAAGCACACAGCAGGGCAGCTGACACTGGCATTCGTCCGGCAAATGGTACGAAGCAGTATTGTCCATGCATAAATGTTTCACTTGTATCATACAATGACACACTGCAAACGAAACCATATCCGTTCCCGTGCCATAGTATGTCACAGCCCAGCTTCAAAAATAAGCAACATCAAACACAGCGCAATGTAACAGGCAGGGAGGTAACTGGTACACATTCGTCAAAAATATCCAACAGGGGTGCATCCTTCCCCTCGTAGGTGAACAGAAAGTAAGCACCATCCCCGGGGCGACACAGCCTCCCCCAAACACCTGGCAAACACCTAGCGAAGGAAACCAAACTCTCCCCCCAAACCAAGCTGTGTTGTGAAATCAAGCTGAGATAGTGTTCGGACAAAACAGGCACGACGGCAGCTGCCTCAACGCCGACCAACTGGGTATTTGTGCCACCTTAGTGGCAAGGTCGAACACGGATCGACACCAGGCAGCGACACCAGACCGGCACATTTTGACAGAGGACACCGCTGGAGATCGCGATGGCGAGCCCCGGTGCCGACCTCCGCCCTTAGGGTCACTGACCCCGGACCTACGCGCTTTTGGGCGTTGATATCGGCCAGCAGATGTTAACTTCGGCAACCAGGGCAGTTAAACACGTGACTGCATGCTGTCGGCGAACGTACCAGCTGCAAATCGCTAAGCAGCCTTGACACTGCCCGACCCATAGTTGTGCCAGTAATCCGAAGCGGCCTAAATGACCGCCACCTCAGGTGACGAACCTAGGGTGTCAACTGCTGCTGCAATGATGATTGGGGTTTTACGCGCAGTAGAGTTAATTGTGTCCAAATGCCGAGGACAAATTTGCGTTTAGCAGCACTTTGGTCGCGGTTGTCAAGAAAGTAAGTCATATAAAATTTATCCCTTTTGCAGGTTAAAATATCCAGGCCATGACAGGCCCGCGTCCAGCCGATTCTCACACAATTCTTTCACACAATCTGCAATTCGGGGTAGAAATTGAGGAGAAGCAGAAATCTGCTGCTACCCTAAATCGCCTTCCTGAATTTGTCTGAGACCGCCACGAATACGGGCGCCGACGCCTACTACGCTAATGAACGAGGACCCGTCATTATGCTGCAGCACCAATTTGTGAGGGTTCCCAAGGACGACGGGCTTCGTTCGTTTCCGCTTTCGTGCCATCTGGATGGAAATGGCATCCAACGCCGTCATCGCCTCGCTCGTCCCGCGTCGCAAACAGCGTCTGACTGTTATGACGCGACGTGCGCAGGTCAAGCAGGCAGACATAACAGTTATTATGGTTGCACTCAGAACAACCACACCGGCTGCAGTTCATTATGTAATTTGATGTCAGACAAGCATCGGTCTTAATGTTTCACGCTTATCCTCAGCGTCTTTCGTAAGATAAGTTCAAAGTTGTGTACGTGAGGTGAGAGCACCACCGCGTGTTGAGGGGTTCAGAGAACTTCAGTTCAAAGTAATTGAACCGAATGGCCGATAGTTACCAGGATCACACTCGTACATCAGTCGCATAACCCCTGTGTGCCTTCACCGCAACACGGAACCCCCCAAAATGCATCAACACCGCCGAAACGGATCGCTGCCACACACTTCACCTGACAATGGCCTTGTCCCTGAGAAACAAAAGGGCGGGGCTCTGTGTTATCAGCTGATGAGACCGCCCAACCATTGTTCTCGCTATTGTATAACAGGGCCAAAAATGATGAGCAAGTCGAAGCGGACCACTACGGCAGACGAAGCAAGTCCTGTTACATGATTCGCGTATGATCGACACATGACGTCACGCGCGTCTGGCCTGCGTCACGACGCGTGCCCGACTCATAGTCAAGTCATGAGCCACAATTGGTATATGAACAAAGTATGACGTCACACGCGTTCTGGCCTGCGTCACAACGCGAGCCCGACTCATCGTCAAGTCATGAGCCACAGCTGGCGTATGACCAAAGTACGACGTCACACGCGTCTGGCCCGCGTCACGACACGAAACCGACTCATCGTCCGTTCATATGCCCGCACTGTCATCCGGGCAGACAACGCAACCCGTCAAAGCAACGGAGAAGTCCGGACGTTCGGGACACGCCCCCACACTCAACGTCCTCCACTGTGAAGCCCGCGAGACACTGCAGCACGGGCTCCACTGTGCTGGCCGGGCCGCACGGGGGAACCGACCCCGCAGCGTGACCTCGTCATCCCACAGACGTCCCGCCCCAGAGCAGGGGACAGGACAGAGGGGCTGCTCACCGGGCTGTTGCCGATAGAAAGCGCGTCTTGGATAACCTGCGTGCCGCAGAACAGCGTGTGCCGCTTGTGGTTCTCGGGCGAGAACAGCTCCCCCTCCTCCCCGCGGTCAGCTGAGTCTTCGTCACGGGCACACTCTCCCCTGGCGCGGGACCCAGTGTCAGGCGCACGCCGCCGAACGTCGCGTCACGCGCCAGTTGGCGGCCGCGCACACTTGTACACCACTTTAATTTCAGGCAACATAGCAATTAGCGATAACGGCGCCTAGCGGAAGGTCATTCAGTCGCAGGACCCAATCTCACGCGTTGTTTAATACTACTACGACAAAGAGCTGAAAGCCTTATTGACAACGCATCACGTCCTAGTAGTGTCTTCCATGGTCGAAGAAGACGACCGAAAAGAACGGAACCACCGGCTCCAGTCCAGGACTGAAAACGCGGCCAGAGCGGCTCACATGAACCGCCGTTCGCCATCCGACGCGAAGAAACTATCCAGGCTATCGCGTCGGCGCCTCAGCACGCACAATGCCCTCACCGGTGAGCATGAACTCTCACCATGGACTCTCGGCATGGCCCTCACCGGTGAGCATGGACTCGTTGACGATGCAGGAGCCGGCCACCAGCACGGCGTCGCAGGCCATGGAGCAGCCGCTCTCGGGCAGCACGAGCACATCATCCCGGCACCAGACGCTCGCAGTCCAGCTCGAACCACCTCTGCAAAGGCGCGCTGAGTGCTGACCTGACGGCGGATGGTGACGTGGGCTGGCAGAGGGGATGCGCGGAACAGCCCGAAACGTGCCAAGGCGGGGGCGAACGTGCATGAACACCAGGCATCGGAGTTTACGGATGAACATGGGAAAAGGGGTCCGTTTTATCCGGCCGGCAAGGGTGAACAGCTGGGACATAGAGCGCAGCAAACGTTTCCTAATGCTACCGATTCGCCCGGATGGAGATCACCGTCCAACGTTTTATCAGCTGGTGACCAGCAGCCCGTGTCAGGATTCACTGGCATACGTAGCCTCAACTGCTTCACACTGCGACATGTCCAGGATCAAATCGTATACGAAGCACACAACCTAGCGCAAACCACGTCCGCGCACAGCCCGCACCACGCGCGCATCTCGGTGTCAGCGGTGCGCGAGCGTCGATATCGCGCTAAACGGCGCCAGCGGTGCGCCTCACCTCCGTCGCTGCGCCGAACGGTCACCGTGCTGACCGCCGAGGCGAGTACCATGTCCCGCAGCGTCTCGCTTTGCTGTGGAACACAGGGGCCGTGAGGCGTGAGGCCGGCGTCACAGACCGAGCCCAAAAACAGGCGGAGGCGGCGAGGCGGCACACAAGGCGGCGAGGGCGGGTGCATGAGGCGGTGAGGTGGCCACGAGGCTGGCACACGAGGAGGCGGGCACATGAGGCAGCGAGGGGCGGTACACAAGGCGGCGAGGCGGCACACGAGGCCGGACGAGGCGGGCGCCATGAGGCGGTGAGGTGGCACACGAGGCGCGAGGCGGGGGCATGAGGCAGTGTGAGGTGGCACACGAGGCGGCGATGCGGGCACATGAGACAGTGAGGCGGCACACGAGGCGGCGAGGCGGCACACGAGGCGGCGAGGCGGCACACGATGCGACGAGGCGGGCGCATAAGGGCGGCGAGGCGGCACACGAGACGGCGGGGCGGGCACTTAAGGCGCGAGGCCGGCGTCACGGACGAGCCCACCAGGCGACGAGGCGGCACATGGGGCAGCGAGGCGGGGCATACGAGGGAGCGAGGCGGCACTCGAGGCGGCGTAGGGTGGGCATAGGAGTTTCAGATAAGCTGCACTGCGGATGTCACCAAATGGACGCGTTTGTAGGGGGAACAGCACCGCGACGACTGGGTAAAGCGGCCTCGCCTGACGACGTTGCGACAGCCTTCCGTCCCCGGCGTTCGTTCTCATGCCCGTCCAGCGTATCGAACAGTCGGATAAGCAGGCTGATGGGAGTTAGTAAATTGTAAGTCGACAAGGACGTTCAACGATAAAGTGGTGCCTGCTGCGAAACGAAAATTCGAGTAGCGCCATTAAGTCTAGTGCAGGTAATGGTTTGAAACTATGAAAAAAGTCTGGTTTCGTTATAAGATTCTACCAGGTGCTCTCTGTTGTGCCTGATGTCTTCAACAGACATCGCCGCCGCGCGGCAATTGCCACCAAAGCCAAAACTGTGAAAGTAAGGCGGGGCAGCAGGCAACACTGAACCACTCGCCAAAACGCCCGCACAATGACCCACCCCATCAAGGTCAGACCACGAACAGGACGGAGCAGCCGCGCAGCGTCAGCCGGCCACACAAACACACGCGGAGAGCCGGCAGAGACAGGACGCCTCGATGCCGTGCGCTGACGGCAGCAGAGGACCGGGCCGCCCTCAGACTGACCATCCCGGGGAGCTGGCGTCTGGGTCACCTGGCAGGCACCGTTTGTGGATGACGCCAGCAAACTGCACACCACCAGCGAACTAAGCAAGGATTCAAAGGACGCACACGGAAACGCTGCCCCGGCGAGGCCACCTGAAGACACAAGCCACGTTAACACTATGATCAGATGCCCACAGGATTGAGCCGACCGCTATACCACGGAGCACAGTCCGCCCACATCCTGTCACAGGGTCGCAGGTGAGCCCCCACCACACGGAGCGCTCCCTCTCGCCTCCCCGTGTGCCCACCTTCCTGGTCTCGTAGAGGGAGACGCCGATCGAGATGACCGAGATGACGAAGATGCAGGTGGCGTAGATCTCGTAGTCGTCGAGCGCCCACAGCGTCAGGCTGCAGACTTGGAAGATGTAAAACGGATTCAGCGCCTCCTCGACGAGAAGGCGCAGGTACGACTTGACCTGGACGGTAATCCTGTTCTCTCCGTACAGCGACAGCCTGCCGGCCGGGGGAGCACCGCATCACAGGGCAGTCCCGGCGGAGTTGCGGGCGGCTCTCATGCGCGCTTGTTTGTTGGTCGTTGCATGACATAGGAGCCATGACTGGCTACACCAAGGTCGCAAAACATGCATATTGGAACGACTCAGATGAATTGGGTCATTTGAAGACGGGTATGCAGGAATAATGTCTGAATTGTGGCCCACTGTTTCTGGCACGCATTCTCGGTTTCCCGGCTGTTTGCTCCATCCGCTGCAGTACGCCCGCCTGGTTTTGACTTCAGCACGGGGCGGGTGCAGGGGCTAACACACCAACCCTTTGGTCTCGGCTGCCTGTGTTTCGCGCAGATCTAAGCAGCAGCGTGTATTAGGCGTTGGGATAAGCCTGAATACCTGGGACGTCCGCGAAGTTCAGGCAATGTTCGCGGCGTCTGAAGATCGCGGCAAGTAATTTCCTTATCTAATGCTCGGAGTGAGGCATCGTAACTTTCCGGCGTTGTGCGTCGTGCAGTCCTTAGCGCAGAACCACCTATTGAGTGCTATAATGTGGAAGCTCGTATGGTCTATTATTTTATGTCTTGTTAATAGCAGCGTTCGCACGGATTTGGAGTATTTTCTGGATTGATGTGTCTTGGCTTTTAAGCCTGACAATATGCTTAATCTTGTTTACTCGTAAACATAAGCACCGCTTGAAACGTTCAGTATTGATAATATTACCACGGTTTGCTTGATTACATCGCCAACCGGCCCTCCCAGTATACGTAAGGTTGAAAATTGCCGGTGTAACAGCCACAAAATTACACCAAAAAGCCTGCAGACAAACTGCCACGGAAAAAGCGGACATATCGGCCAAAACAGAGATGCTCAAGAATGAAGAGGCGGTGACACGCCGCCGAGCTGTTTCGAGCCAAAGTTTAAGTCGAATTGAGGAAGACCACAGCTGAAGACACGCGATCAGCTGGCACGAACGCTTCACGCGAGAGCCATCCACGGGCACATATCAGCGCAACTGATAGCACAGTAGTAATAGCCTTATTCCTTGGAGAAAAAACCAGGATAATCGAGATGCAGATGGGTTGATATTTCGGCAACATGCCTTTATCGAAACAATAGCAGAAGACTTCCGTCTTATCCATGTCAATAATGCTCCTCGCTAATGCGCTGAACAACTTACGTGACATATATATATATATATATATATATATATATATATATATATATATATATATATATATATATAAGCGCAACTGGCACGAATGTTAGGAAACCATCCAAACCGCGCAACGGTGCGAAAGTGCAAGAAGTATCGAATGTGTGATCGAATGCACTATCTTTGCCCCCAATCTAAGCAGCGTTTCACAGTTCGGAGTGACTTGTTCGCACCCGCAAAACGACATTCCGCGCCAGCACCCAGCGACGCCACACCAGACACCGACCTGTCTGCCTGCTCCGCCGGTGAGTACCCGTTGTAATTCGCCAGCAGCTGGGAGACCCTGACACCCCTGTCCAGGCCGCTCAGCTGGACGAAACAGCCGGTCTCGTGGTTCCAGGTGTACTTCAGGTGGTACGACCAGAAGTAGCGAATGTGGTCCTGGGGTGGCACACGGTTTCCGTCACTGACAATCTCAGAGGGCGCGACGACGTTCGGGACGACGGTGGTTAGAAATGCCGAAGCAAAACCAAACGTACGGACCAAATTACATCATATAACGCCTGGATGAGCAACGAAGAACATAAAGATGCCATACACGAGTAAGTACGCTCCAGGACGACTCACTTTCTCTCTACATGCTTTCCTTAAAAAAACGTGAGCAGCTGATTAGAGCAGGTTAATCGTGGGCAGAAAGAAGCCGATAACTGTGAGCTTCGCTGACGCTGGAAAGAGCCGATAAGCATAAGCCGATGTGCGCCTCATATCTGTAACAAAATATTTCCACAGTGCCCCTCCGAAGAAGGCGTAGAATGCAAGTCCGACAGAGAACAACCTGCTCGGCCCAACAGCTCGCAAAGCAGTCCGATCGTAAATCGCACAGGCTTACCTGACGCGGAGAGCCGCGGTATGCAAACATACAACTCCAGAAAGATCCTTCCGCAAGACTATCGGCCGAAGGCAGGAGACCAAATAACGCGCTGCACTAAAATGGCGTCGCATGGGTGATGAGTTGTGAGTATAAGTAATAACCTCTGCTTAGCATGTATTCTGGACGCTATGACATCCACGCAAGACAGTAGGAAAAAACTCTGTCAAAAGCAGGAATACGTGTCCTCTCAGAAAAATCGTACCATGCGCCCCTCTAAAAAAAAAACCACACAAGATGACGACAATGCGTCCGCCTCGAGGTACCATAATATGATAACGTATCATCTCCGGATTCTGCATTATCACATGAGCGGATTGGGCGGTATACAGCCCGACTCCAAGGCGGTGGCCTGACTGTGGCGGGGTCAGGGCTCGGGCAACAAGCACTGCCGGGATCCCGGAAAGGCGTCCAATCAAAGATTTGGACCAGATCCAACAAAACCTCAGTTATTCTGCACGCTTTGACTGTAATGGAACAACGCAATCTCCTGCTTACAGGTAGCTGAAGTAGGCCGGTGGGGTCTTCAGGTCAGTTCATAATCAGGACGCATAAAACTGCAATACTATTTCAGGCATGCAGCGAACGTCATAGTTTTGGTTCACGACTTCATCGCCGGTGGAAAACGCCAGCTGACATGCTTGTGGCCAACACAGTCAGGAGAGCTGTGCTGGCCGTGCGCGGAATTGAACACGATTACAACATCAATTCTGTTTTGGCCGGAGCCAGGTTTAGATTTGGGTGTGTCGCATATTCCGAATCGCAATGGGAATTGGAAGCCGAATCGGATTCGGCAATGGTTGTCAAGTTACGAAAGAATTCGGAGATTCGAATCCGCTTCTTAAACACCCGTCTCACAGTTTGGTTCAACCATAAATGTCTGAGACGTGCACGTGGCTGACTTGAAACTGGGCTATGCTAGTTACCCGAGCATTGTGCAACAGACGTATGACATGGGCATTTGTTAATAATCTAGGCAGCTCTTGGGATATAGCGGGAAGGGTTGAGACATTGTTGGCTTGAAGACCCCAAGAGCTGCATGCTTTGAAAGTCGGAATGGCTTGTCCGTTTACCCTGGGCTCGTCTGCGCCTTGCAATCATCCTAAACATACAACTGCGCATGCATCTAGACAACACGAAGCCTCGGCGCATATCATATCACGTAATGTTCACTGACTGAAAGCCTACGATGGCCGTTAGAGTAGTAGCATACAAGCGGTACCCGTTTGCTTCGCTGCGCGAAGAGCCAGGGTCGACCAAGACGTCCCCGCGTACTTCACTGCGCGAGGAGGCGACGCTGTTAGCATCGGTAGCTCTGCCGCCGACGACGTAACAGCTACTCCCAACAAAATGACGTCAACCAAACTCCTGCGAAGTTGTACCGAATTCCTGCGCAATCGCCCTGCATCTAGCGGAACCTCATGGTACAGGGGGTCATGGCCCCGATGACTCCACTTGCTTCATCCCTGAGTTAGCGCATGTACGCTAGTTAACACTCATGGATCACTCGCACGCATGGCCTGTGTCATGTGTTTCCAAGCACTCGGGACATCGATGCTTATAATTCCCGCTCGCTGCGCTGCGTGAAGAGCCGGTGATGTTGGTGCTGGCAGTGTCCCCAGCCGTGACGTGACGTTGATTCTTGTCACAACTACATGAGCGAGTCTCAGTTAGTATCTATAAAAGTTCCCCTCTCCTAAAGCACGCGGACGGGTCGCCCGCGCAATGCTGCGTCATGCAATCAGGGTATTAAATAAATAAATCTGGTTATGGCCTCTCCCTGCTTCGCTGCGCAAAGAGTCAGTGCCGTTAGCGTCCTTGTGGTACGCTCGTCAGCCACTTCACATCAATTTAAACCTTAATGATGCACAGCATATTCTGATAAGTATTCGTAAGCTCGCATTGCCTGCGTCAATTGCCCGTCTCCCGTCCGCGGGGACGTGCTAGCTATTGTCGCTCCAGCTTTGCGGCACGTTTTCGGCTGCTTAGCCCTTTCACATTTTTTTCTCCCTCATAACCAAAAGAGTATCGCTCCAAATGCAAAGCATGCCGTCTATTACAATGAAAACGTGCATCCTTCTACCAGCGCTGACCGACACCGGCATCGGAGAGCCGTCAGTTCATGCCGCGGGCTGTCACGAAGCTTAAGCCCGTCTGTGTGCAAAATACACCGCAAACTGGGCAGCCGTCTGCGCTATGCGTCTGGCTAATTAATCTGGACCCCCCCCCCCCCACGCGCTACTGCTTTAGATGCCTACATATGTATATAAATGTGTGTGTGTGTATGTATGTGCGTGAAGTTTTGTTTACCCACTGCTACAATCAACATATCGACCATGCAGCACGTGCAGCCCCTCTCTCTTTCCAAGCAAGTATAAAAATATATTGACGTGTGCACAGCACAGATCGCGAGACAATATTGAGCCGTCTGTTAGTCGGCCAGACCGCCCCCACTAGGCAGGATCACCAAGGCACCATACGGGCCTGATGACGAAAGAAAAAGAAAGTGACACGTAGACGTAAGGGGATTAGAACACACCACCGAAGCATCTCTGTCGTCACCAACCTGGGGACTGAGCAAGGTATCATGTGCTTTGCTTGACGTGGAGGTCCGGTCCTGCCCCTCCCCATCGGACGAGTCCTGGCAACGAGACCATCTCCGCTCCCGAATATGCATGCTAAACTGGATACCGTTGACGCTGTCACTCGTCACTTTAAAGGGCCGCTTTAAAACAGCATAGTTTACATACCTCTCTCTGAAGTCTTAACTGCGCTACTACCAGCTTAAAACAAAACAAAGATGTCTTTGATGTCTTTAAAAACACACGAGAACTTTGTCAATGCACAATTTTTAGAATGGGTACCTACGCCAACATGCGTTCACAACGTATGTCAAGAAGATGCATGCATACAAATAAGGCATGCATGCAATTGTGCCATGTAATACATGCATGTGCGATAAGTATTCACAATGTAATCTATTAGCAGTATATACCACTGACGGCGAGCAGGATATTAATACCCCGCATCCCAGGTTCGTATAGGTCGGGTACACGTCCTATCAGGAAAACTGAGTCAAGCATGGAGAGCTGACTCCGCAATGGCCGTTCACCAGGCCGTCATAACGGGACTCGCGGTGAGTGTTCCCCTAAACGATCATTCTGCTCACTTCACCGCTACCCTCCCCGCGACACCCACCTGCATCCCAATAACTTTCCTCCTCACAACTATCACCACCAGCCTGACGGCTCCAGCCGGATCTCGTCTCACCTCCCCTCGTGGCCCACTTCACGAGGACCGCTGACCCTTCGTGACCTCCGGCTGACCGGCTAGACGACTTCCCAACTGACCTCGTCCTCGTCCTGATGCAACAGGAGCGGACTGCGGTCCGCCGCCTCCGCCGCCGTCCTCCTGATCCGAAACGGGGGTGGCGTCGCCGGTCCGGCACGTTCGCTCACCACCGACTCCACCGACGTCCGGCCGTGCAGGTCCTGGCGGGCAGAGCCGGTCAGCGCGGCCGTGCTGCGCTGACCGCCGCTCCGCAGGGTCGCGCCGTCGGGCGCCGAAGACACCTGGCGCGCACGCACACAGAGCACGGTGGAATGGCGACACGTCGTGAGCTGGCCTGCACCGACGTCGCCCCAATGCGAGACCGGTGAGGCGGCGGGGTGGAGATGAGGAAATCATCGTGCGTGTCGAGGCAGAACGGAGAGGACTGCTCCATCGCGGGGACGACAGTGCCGTAACGAAGTCAACAGGAGGGGGAGCCACCGTGCTGACGACCGCGGCGCACCGGAGTGCAGACGCGTGACCCACCGTGAGGAGGACGGCCGTGGCGCACCGGAGTGGACAGCGCCCGTGCGTGAGCCGCAGCCGCCAGTCCGGCCGCCAGTAGGTGACCAGCAGGGGCCACAGGCCCAGCGCCAGCGACCCCACCCAGAAGATGGCGCTGAGGGGCAGGCTGCGACAGTAGCCGCGCACCACCAGCTCCTCCTCGGTGCCCTTGCCGATGACGGCGCGGTGCCGCAGACCTTCATCGAGCGCCAGCGGCTCATACCTGGTGGGAGACCCAGCATCAGTATGGAAACCTAGTGACACAATGGCCCAGCATTATTTTATGATGTATGTGAAAGCCAACACCATTTGAGATGTCAAAATATTATGCAAGACCATGACAGTAAATTGTTGCAGGCCACCAGGTGTTGGCTCAACACAGGCCTGTTTTGGACAACACTGAGTAGGTATGGGGGAAAAACCTACTTGCATTAAGCCAGACTATTAAAAAAAACATATAAGATCAGAACCAAACCCAAGTCAGGTCTTTCATTGTGTTGGGCAGTCATTCATTCATATGTATTCATTTCTTCATCCGCACATGCATTCAGTCATTCACCCATCCGCACATTCATTCATTTACTCATCAGTGCATTCATTAAGCATCAACCGAGTCATTTGCAGACCCCAGACATTTCTCCAATAGCGAATGTGCTGGCCCATAATGCTGGGCTATCTCTGTGGCCGATGATCAGCCAGCTCAGTGGGGTGCAAGCTCTGTGTGGGCCAATCAGGTTGCCCCTGATGGGCCAGCATCACTGGACCAGCACACCCAGGCCCTAAATTACTGCAAGGCCTGCATGTCCAGTTCTCTATCAGCTGATAACATTCAAAAATAGTGCATGTGATAAAAGCTCACAAACCCCCATGGTTTGCACCATGCAAATCATGAGAGTTTGCATGGTGCCCAACAGACCTGTAGAATCCCAGATGTAAGCCGGCGTTTCGACTCAAGCTGTGTCATGGTCCTTGGCACATATTTATTACATGATTATATAAAACAATGTGTGACAAGGTGACATAATATATGGAAACAATTTTGGCACACCAATGTGAGTACTTGAATACTAAACCTTAACAAAACATTCCACTATAACCCACATCCACGTCATCAAAATACGTGGGTGAACTGTGTACATTTAGCATTAATAAACTGAAAGGTGGGTAAATGATCAGTTAGCAATGGAAGCAATATTGTTTTTCTATCAATATCACCTGAAGTTGTGGTATGAAAGATGGATGCTCACCTTACTTCAAATGAGCAGCGTGAACTCATCCACATTGGCAACACAGTACCGAGAAAGTATTTGGCCGCTGCGATTCCCACACGTTTACAAAGTTTGACATCTGCTCGGCAAACATAGACCTAAGTGGACCACCTAAAATGGTGTAACTGTCTAAATGCAGGATTGAACTGCTGTGCCAATCCACGATTTACTCGTTTGTTATAGAGCCGTGTTCATCATACAACCCCAGACCATCGCGCGATGGTCATTCCCTTGCATGACTGTTTGCCATTTGATGTGAAATGGGTGGCACGCGCAAGGCCAAGCAAGTTTGTGTGTGTGCGGATCATTAGACTAAAGAGCGCCATATATGTAATAGTGATCCACCAGGAAAAGGCAACGAAATAAAAGTAAGTTGGAAATATTGAAAATGAAATCGAGCTGGAAAGACAGAATTGCGACATCCCATCTTTTCTTACCATATTGGGATGAGAGATTTTGTATGAAGTACGTATTTCTCCTGATGTACTCCGGATGTCAGGAACATTTTGAAGCCCGGACGGAAATTCAGTTTTCCCTATAAATTTATTCTGGCTTAGATTTTTATGAAGTACGTATTTAAGCCAGTATAAATTTATAGGGAAAACTGAATTTCTGTCCAGGCTTCAAAATGTTCCTGACATCCGGAGTCACCACCGTTGGCGAGCCTGGGGCCGTCGTATACCTAGGTCGCCTGGCTGACGAAGTAGTCAATCTTCTTCATAGCGTTGCCTGATCGGTCATCATATAGGTTAGACGTTTTTGAAGGTTATGTCGTGGCATGCAGTATATATATATATATATATATATATATATATATATATATATATATATATATACTACACGCACACGTAATACTCTCCACTTTGTCCGACATGTGCACAATGGTGATGGGCATAGGCGTAGGAACGTTTCAAAAAGTCGGGGGCCAAGCTCATGGCATACTTCAGGAACTTTTTCTGGAAAACAATCCAGATGACCGGGGGGAGAGGGGGTAGGGATGGAGGTTATCGCTGTTTATTCAGATGTAATGACTGATAGTCTAGATATGGATCTAGAGCTGTTTCTCACTGGTGCACACTATTGCCTATCCGACTCATCTGTCATTCGGCAAATAACACTATCCAGCTTCCCAAGATTATTTGTCCATTTCAACATTGTCTTTCCTAGGGGCGTGAAGGTCCACGAGGAGCTAGGCATTATGGGTTATTGAGGAGGTATCTGTCTTCACAGGGTAGATGCCAAAATATGGCCTAAGCAAAGGCTGGTGGGAATTTTGAAAGTGAATCAATGGCTCACAGTACAGCAGATTTTGCATTCGCCTTCATTTCGCTGGCTGCTTTTCAGGAGACTAGACTTGTCGCGGCATTTTAGGCGGAAACGAATTCGGAAGCTTGAAACTGCCAAAAACCATGTGACAAAAGCCATAAAACTGGATTCTTCTTTGAGAACCAAGCCACAGAATGAAGGCCCTTCTGTCATATATTCCTCGTCTGAGCACTGCTCCCGCCTGCCTTCGGTGGCCACTGCCCTGGCCCGGCCGTCTCTGGATGACTGACCGTGAACTGATGGTATGGCTGCTTTGTTGCACAGTCCTGGATCAGCATTGCTACTAATTGGGATGCATAACATGTGTTGGACACCTGCAGCAGCACCTTTTACCGCATTATCTTCCCTTACACCATACCAACCCAGAAAAATGGCTCCGGGAAGCTGCTTACCTTAGGTATGAATTGGTCCTACGGCCATGCAATTGCCCACCACTCGACGTAGATGACTTGATCTGCTTTTACGTGTAGGCAGGGGGTAGCCAGAGTCTTGCTAAGAGAAACGCAGGTTGACAAAAGCCCCACTTAAGGTGATCCACCCCCGCCCTCCCCCAAAATCCTCTAATATAGTTAACTTGTTACCAAGGGATACCGTTTTCTTCGTTCCATTGCTATTTTTTGCGCTGTGACCAGAACAGAAACCAGAAGCCACCGTGAGACAATTCTGTTGACATTTTTAAGGTCAATGAACCATAGAAATCAGGCGCTTAGGTAACGACCGCATGGAATAAATTACAGGGGTCTTTAATTTACAATGGTTAAGTGGACTCTTTCTAAATAGACAGAATTCAGAAGCTTTTTCGTAAAGTTTCATCTGCGTTCTACAGACATTGAGGACATCGCAAAAGTAGACTGTAAATCGATGTATTTGATCGAAATTTGAGGGTGAAAATTTTGATTGTGGATGGAGTGGCCAACAATGTATATTAACATCGCCAAGCCATGTTTGTCTGGAAATTTGAAACATTCAGGCCGAATCGCTCAGTGATGCAATTTATATAATGTGGTTTTTAAACATGCGCGCTCGCAAATCTCACAACAAAAACCCTGATGTCAGGCGTTGCAGTCTTCTTAGTCCGCGAAGCGCTAGCCAGTGGTTAACTTTTCGCCGTGTCCCACCGCTGGATGCAACTGATAACGGTTCTGAAATTACCTTTACCTTTTACCTTTCCTTTAACATAACCTTTAGGAACTAAAATTTAGTGTAATAAAAGGTGGCATAATTTTGAGCATGCGTACTCGCAAAACTTGTTAAAAACACGACTCCAGGCGTTGCAGTCTCCGTAGGCCGCGCGTCGTTGGCCCAGTGGTTGATAGTGAGCCGTGGCCAGCGGGGTGGTCGAAAATAATGGCACTTTTGAAAGAAGTACCTTTGAACGTTTCAGAACATCAAATTTTACATCTACAAGGCAGTCTGGGTGCATATTTCACGTGTACGATTTTTACATTGATAATAAGAACCGATCGGTCCTTAAAGCACTGCGAAGCGGTGCTGGAATCTGGTGGTGGAAATGAAAGAGTAAAGGTAAATTCTCTATTGTTCGTGTTTCTGTGACTATTAGTCCGTCTAGAAGACAGATTAACACGGCGCCCGCCGTTTGGTGACACTTGCAGTGGCCTACGAGCTCGGTTTTACGGGAGCTACAACACAGACCATCGCTGTCCTTGCTCTCGAGGTTCCGGGCGGGCATGTTCAAACCTTTTGGTGCATTTTTTCACTAACCCATTCTGAAAAAATGAACGTTTTCAGGCAAACATGGTATGGCCTTGCTCGTTTTTTTAAAGTTTATGTCGACCCACTCTATTCAGCAATAATGAGGACTCCTACTCTACTCAACAATAATGAGACCTCGTTAAGTCATTCCGGGCAAGGGGTCCCTGAGTAGAACACCAGGGGTACATTACCGGTTCCAGTCAAGGGCTGATGGGCCACTCCATCCCATCACGAAGTGTCCTCTGACTGCCATGCTAGCGACCTGGTCAATCCGGAGGCCGTCGCAAGGATATAACATCACACTGTTCCCCTCCCTGACGCGGGAGGCCCTCTGACCCGCGCAGTTGTCCCCAGATCAACACAGGAGCCCTCATTGACGCAGCAGCATCCTTGATCACCAAAGGTGGTCCAATGATTGTCACATAAGCTCCAGTTCCTTGTTTGTCTGTGTTCCTCAGGAGATATTGAGCAATTCTGAACGTAGATTTGTAGATGAAATGAGTCATAAGCTTAACATAGTTACTTAACGAGCTTAACAAGCTTTAAGTCTTAACATGGCTGATCCATGTTCGTCTTAAAATGTTCATGATTCAGTCAGAATTTATTACTGACAGAAAAACTATGTATTATGGTTCTGAACATACGCGCTCGCAAGTCATAGCAATAACAGCCTGGACGTCTGGCGTTGCAGTCTCCATAGGCCGCGCGGCGTTGGCCTGCAGTTGTGATATTAAGCGATGGTTAATAAGCAAACGAAAAAGATGGCGCTCATTGAGGAAGCTGGCTGGTGAGTCGGCACGCACATTAAATGTGTGGAAAATTATGGCTGACACAACCTTAATCTGAAAAGTGTGGGGGGGGGGGGGTTCAGCTAACACTGCTGCCCTGCCCCCCGTCACCTTGAAAAGTGGAGGGGGGCCGGTGCCCCCCCCCCCCCAAGCCCCCTGTTCCTAGGCCAGTGGTAATTAGACACTTACATGGCACGCCAGCGAAGACACAACAGCAACCAACACGAAAGGGGCAGTCCTGGTTTTTTCGTGATTCACTCCAGCCTGAACAACTCCTTGACATTCCCCTCCGCTATGCATATCATGCACGCCTGATTTGAGCACGTGAGGGTGCCTCACCTGAACGACCCGCCGCGGCCACCACGGCCACCGTCGACACTCCCCTTGTCTCCCCTCGCGCGGGCCGGCTCGGCTGGCGCTATGGCCCCGTAGCCGCGAGCACCGGTCGGGGCCACCTCGGGCACAACCATGGCTCGGCTCAGGCGCCGGGCACCGCTGCACTCAGTCTGCGGGACGCAGTCCGGTGCACGCGCGGGCCACACGAGGGTAGCGCTTGCGCAAGGCCGAGCAGTGTGGTTTTACGTTCAGCGGGGGACGCGCGGGCCCAGACGCGCCGGCCTCGTCACGGAGCCACCGCGGACCCGACCCGCGGTCTGAGACGCTGGCAACCTCACAAAACGCCGTGCTCACGACACCGGGCGGTCGTCCAAGTCAGGTAGCCAAGATCGCACAGCATTCGCACTCAAGGCCTCGCAACAGCCGGCCACGGCCGAGTTCCGCACAGCTGCTCCGGCGTGTGGCCGCCGCTGCGTCACCGGGCTGACACCGCACGCCGGCCGAGCGGCGTCGGGCCCGCAGCCCTCGCACTCACCGGCTGTCAACGCAGCACAGAGGGGTGATCGCGGCACGCCCCGGCGGTGGCGCCGCACACCCCGCGCCTGTCGCCGACGCCGAGACACATACAGCCAACTGCCTGTCGTGTCGTGGCGGACCGGCACGGCGGCCGGCTGTTGTTTATCGTCGGTGCAGGGAGGACGAAGAGGGGGCCGCGCCACGCTCATGCTCCTGCGAGCCGAATAGGCGCTGGGTCCAGTGGCGGGAGGGGACGGGTGGCCTGACGGCGGCGGGATCCAGGCGGCGCCCCGACAGACAGCGGCGGATCCAGGCGGCGCCCCGACGGGACGCGGCGGATCCAGGCAGCGCCCCGACAGGACAGCGGCGGATCCAGGCGGCGCCCCCGAATCGTCACGCAACACCAGCGCAAATGTCCTCCAGCAAATTCAAGAGGGCCTCAACCTGCCCCCCTCAGCGTCAGGCAAACACTACTCACCTTCTGCAATAGCAGCACACTTGCCCCCGACTTTGTCGTGGGCATGGGACTTGTCTACGCACTATAGGGTAGGTCAGAACAAACCACAATCGTGCAGCAGCCGCTGGCACGCGTTTCAGAGCCCGGCAACGAGGCCTGCGCTCACGAAGAGTGAGGCAGACTACTGTTCAACACAGATGTGTAGGAGTTGTATTATTTTCCCAATCTGTCGGACAGCGGCGTTGAATACATCGGAAGAAATCGAGGGTTCGTGGGCGTCGTCGTGCAAGGCCGCGAAAACAGGATGGGCGCACGCGCTCAGCCCGGTCCCTGACAAAAGCGCATGAGCAGTGTGCCTCCCAGCCCGTCTCCTGACGCCGCCCGTGCGCCGGGACCACACGGCGGCAGCGGTAGCCCCTCGGCGCCCCGCTGCGCGACCGCCGCGTGACGGAGAGTGGGGGGGGGGGGGGGGGGTCGTATCGCACCGTTATCGGATGCCAGGGAGGGTGACGACAGTGGCCCACGTGCGTTTCCATGCTGGCTGTCGTCAGGCCTTCCCCATTCCCTGCCCTCACACGTGTACGTGAATTACGTAAACGTCCCGGCAGCGTCTGTGGTGGCGCACGAAATAAGGCCAAGTCTCGATGACTCTGCGCATGAACATTGCGGAAGAGTTGGTCCGTCCCAGGAGTGATTCCAGATGGCATGGATTGGATTCCAGATCCCAGATGATTCCAGTCATGCCACTTCTAGAACTTACAGAGGGAGCGCTCGGGAACGCGCCGTCGGTAATGGACGCGCGCGGTTTCATGCGGCGGCATTCGTCAGGTTTGTGCAAGAGTTCTGAGTCGTTCGGTCTCTTCAATTTCGCCTAGTTCATCTTCGTCAAGTGTAGGGAAGGAATCGATTCCAGAATCAACCACAGTCGGGTGAAGGTGAAAATCGATTCAGTGAAACGTTTACAGACCGAAGCGGAGACTGTATTGGAGTGTTTGGACCCATTCTATGCATTAACACCCGCGTAAACATACCCAGCGATGCAAATTCTTAGCCCGGACAGTTTGCATATGCAGAAAACTGACACATGTACCCTGAAAACGTGCAAACTTATGAACTCCGTCATTGCCCCCATCAGCCAATGCGCGAACCGCATTATGTTCCAGACAGTTGCACCAGAGCAGACATCACTCACTCAAAACCACTCCAGGAATCGAGCCGCATCATCCGCATCGGAAGCCTGAATCAGCTGATCCGAGAAGCATGCTCTGCTGGATCGAGGAGCGCGGAAATCAACTCATGAACCGAGCTTCTGTATTCGACAGCACTGAGGCGAAATCAGGCAGACGCCTGCTCGCATACATTGGTGTGGCCAGTGAAACTGAGTGCGACTGGGAAGTGCACTTGAGAACAGTCCAAAGAGAGCAGAACGCACTACAATAATGAACTGATCCCATCGTACCGGCGACGATTGCTCACGACACCATTCTCCACCACAAATTAGGGCTTCGGGTTACGCATGCGCGCTCGTGTCGGTCCAGGCGCGCCTCACGTATGATTGTCTGCATAGTGGGATGAAAGAACGCACCCCAAGTGACAGCCGATATTAAACCTAATTCCGACATATCAGTGCATAGTGGCCTCACAAATATGGGTCGGCATAGGAGCAAAGTACACCACCTAAAGCAATCACTTTTACGGCGAGACGAGCGGGCGGGTAACGGATACGTAGGACCAAGAAACAGCATCACCGAGAACTACATTACGCGCGTGATTCAGCGTCAGGAGCGGTTGAAAAACCAGTTCAGTCCGGATTTGTACTGCTCGGACCGGCTACGCGGGTGCTGTGCAGCGGCTGGCTGGAAAGTTAGCTGGTAAACAGAACCATAGACATTTGCATGTGGCGAAGAGCGAGGGTCACGCAGCGCGATAACGACACATAGCCGGCTGGTCCGAGGGCTCACATGTGTTCACACGATAAACACACACCGTTCCGCTGGTGTTGACGCGCGCGTGACGATTTGTGGCGGACGAAGTTTCTCGGAACGGTGTAATCGTTACAGGCGAAATTAATGACGACATGCCGCACATTGGGGCATCAAATGAGTGAGGACATGAAAACTGTGGGAGTCCTAAAAAAACAGACTCATCTTTTGTGGAAAAACAAGTGAAAACCTAACACTTTGCATCTGCTTGTTATAAACGTGCCTGCGTTGTGAAGCTGAAGGGGTGGAATTACACCTCTCCTAATACGCCGAAAAGTGAAATCTGCGTATAATTTGTGATTATATACTTTGGTAATGTGTGGTGTTTATAATATGCGATGTGGTGTTTATAAATGTGGTGTTTATAATATGGGATTATATGCTTTGGTAATGTTTGGTGTGTATATCAAATTATATGTTTTGGTAGTGTGTAGAGTATGCAAGATATATGTGATTATCACATCCGTTTACTCGCGGGTTCTCGATTCAAAAATTGCATCGATAGACATTTCAGTTCATGTAAAACAAAGCACAAACACTCCGCGCACCAGTTCAGAGCAGGGCTATCAAGCTTTTCCTAGATACGCCCAGGGAGATGCCCTCGTGTTGAAAATACCTTTTCCCCGTTCGTTAAAAAACACGTGCTTGAGCCTGCTGTACTTCTGACGGACAATGTTCTGAGCTATTGTGCCTCTAAAGAGAGAGCGACGTTCACCCGCTTCTGTGCGAAGGTGTTGCAAATGAAGCTCCCGTAAGTGCAATGTTATGTGGAACACAGGCTGGTTTAACAATGTTGTTAGCTGAGTTGGCTCTTCAGTGGCCATGCGATTTTGCCTATGCACGCATACTCGATGTTCATCAATGAGCTCGCCCACACGGGGGCGCAGCCAATCTTGGCAATGTGTGTGTGGGGGGGGGGGAGACACAGCTGACAAAGGGCCCTTCCTTCTGAAAGCTCCCCCCCCCCCCCCACACACACACATGCACATACAAAAGAAATTATCGCATTGGCCCGCTTGCACAAGCGGCGCTGCGCCGCTGCGCCGCTTGTGCCACCACATGCCGCTTGCACGTGATTTCGGCACGCTGTGGTGCCGTGAACCCCGCTTCGAACGGCGCGGTCGCTGTACGGACTACTGCTGCGGTGCCTCGGTAACAAATGTGAGCCCAGTGCCGCGTAGGTTTTCCTCCATCCAGCGGTCCATCTCCTGCGGCGTTTCGTCGCTCAGGTGGTTCTTCCAGTCGCCCGTCTGACCCTTTCTCATGAAGGACAGACGCTCACCGTCTGCTCCCTCTTGTTCCTTGATCCTGTCCTCTTTGTTGACCCACTTGTTCTTCCGCATGCTCTCGAAGCTAAGGTGGTGCTGCAGCCTGTCCAGCTGCTCGGCCGTCAGTTTCTTACCCAGGAACTCGGCCGTTCGCTCGATGACGGCTCGCAGATCCCGCTTCATCTCCTCGAATGTGAGGAACAGCATGTTGGGGTGCTGCCGCTGGCGCCACGCCTGCAGCACGTTTGGGAAGAACGGCAGGCAGACCATCTTCCCTTCGTTGTACAGCGTGACGAAGTCTTCAATGGTCGTCTCGGGGCTCAGTGTGCTGTCTGACATCAACATCTTGTAGTAGGAGACGCACGCATCCTTCGGGTTTCGCGCCACGTAGATAACCTGGAGAAAGACGGACGATGGTGTTACCGTTGTCAATCCCACTTTCTGGCTGGCAGCGGGTGTCATTACTGCATTTACTCGATGACAGACGGTATCGAATGATCACTGCTCCCTCTTATGATGCTTCCCATACTGAATGGTCACTGCTCCCTCCCATAATACTTCCGATACTGAATGGGCAATGCTCCCTCCCATAATGCTTCCAATATTGAATGGGCACTGCTCTCTACCAGATCATTTGCCCGCCCTGGTGACAGCCTCCCGGAGCGCACACGAAATCGCGTCGACTCTATTACGACCGTGGGACTTGGAGACGAGGAGCCGGTCTCTGAACCACCTTTGGAACCGGTCACTGACGTGAAACTTAAAATGCGCAAATAAATACATACTTGACATACGTATGTAAAAACAAGCCTTTCAGAACTAACTGAGCTTAGATCAGTCGATTTAGAGGTACACTAGCTGTGGATACGGGCCTCGTGAAACAAGGCATCTGGATTATACCTGGCACCCGGGATCGTGCGTAACAGGCAACTAGGTTATTAAGGAGACTGCAGGCAGCACGTTGTAAATTTTGAAGGCTACTGCAATTACATGCGTCATAGTTGCGTGCTGCGTGATGACTTCCGTAATCTTGAGCAGAAATTAGGAAACCATGTGCATTCAGAATATGTTATTTCCTTTTGCGACTTCAAAGAAAACTTAGGAAAATGGCTCTGAACGGTTGATGAGTTGGACGGACTGAGAACGCATCGTGGGCGGGCTTGTCCAGGCCTCTCTCAGTCCGGGCGGGTCGAGTAAGGCAAAAACCCTGTCCGTGAAAACCTCTACGATATCGGTGGCCATGCCTTACTTACATGGCCAGACTGCTCGTCCACATCTTGTACACGTGGACCAGACTACTCGTCCATCTTGTACACGTGGACCAGACTGCTCGTCCACATCTTGTACACGTGGACCAGACTACTCGTCTTCATCTTGCACGTTTAGACCAGACCGCTGGCCCACATCTTGTACACGTGCACGAGACCACTCGTCTGCATCTTGCACACATGGACCAGGCTACTCGTCCACATTTTGTTCACGTG